TGTGCTAGTCTGTGTCATAGTAGCATTCAGCAATGATAGGCTATTGCTTGTGACTTGTAACCAATTCGGTAGCGCTGTGGGCGGGACACTGGCCTAGACCACAGAGAAGTGACTACAGACAAAGAGAGGCAGCTGCATCTGAGCCAGTGTAGGACATTTTGTAATTAATTTATTTTATTGGCCATTAGATAAAAAAAAAAAAGAAATCAATACCGATAATCATAAAAATGCTCATCCGATAATCTGTAGACCACTAATAAAGAGTCGCAGTCACAGAGTACTTAGTTGAAACAAAATCTTGGCCTAGATTTTTAATTTCTAGATCTGAACTATCCATTACTTTTAAAATATCGTAATTTGCAATATTTGTTGAAGATCATTAACTTTCCAGTTGTTACGTTCTGGCGCCGCCACTGCACCTGGGTAGCTGTCAATCCACATAATGCTGCTAATAATCTGTTGTAGCAGTAATGGTATATACAGCTAATAGGAACCCATAAGTTAAATAGTTATGAAGAGTGATTCATAATCAGTGCAAAATCAGAACAGAATCAGCGCCCCACTGAGACAGAGAACGCCTCAAACAGCAAAGCCCATTCATCCCAGAAGTCACACGCATAATTTACATACCCAATGTGAATGCAAAACAGCTATGGTAGCTGCACTTTCTGCTCACCAGCGCCCCCCTTTGGAGGGCACAGGCTCATTTGCAAGAACAAATTTAATTGGGTATGCAAAAGGATTTTATGCTGCCTTAGACATCTGAATGTAATAATCTTCCAAGGCTGGAAGCAGGCAGTGCAGTTCAGAGTGATCCTGTGGTTGTGTGCACACAGGCTTGTCTCGACACCCCACTGAGCGAAAATCGCTGCTTGTGAGGGATGAGGCCCTGTAATTTGTTAAATGACATGTTTGATTGCAAAAGCTGGATCTTTGGAAAAATGCTTCCTGTTTCTGTGAACGGTAAACTCTCCAATAGCTTGGGTTAGTCATTTTAAAACAACTAGCTGCAAGCTTTAAGTTGGCAGCACTCAATGAGGCTCTGAATAAATCAAGAGGGGAGAAGAAGGTCCGAAAGCAAGAGCCAGAGCAGCTGGAAGGCTCAGGGCTCACGCCGAAGCCTCACGCCTCCGGGCCTCAGACCTGTCGCTAGAGTTATGCGTTAGCGTGGGTGTTCTCTGCATGCTCTAGTTTCATCCTGGAAAAAAGTGCATCTGTTCATCTTTCATAACCATGTACTCAGCACCGGATAGTGTGGTAGAACCAAATGCTTGAAAAAAAAACAATCGTTCTTTGGTAAGTCTAATTTTTGCTTAGAGAGAGAGCTTTTAGGATGTCTACGATTGCTGTGCTCGGTTCAGGCTGTTCATCTCATTCTGCTCTTTATTTTTAACATAGTGGCCATTACTGATGAACATTAAAATTGCTAGCTGACATTAAATACCCCTTTTAACACTGACTTGTGGCCAAGTCGGCACTCTGAGAGACTTTTTAGGAGAGTCGCTTGTTTTTTTTACCAAAAGTGGTTTGGTCGGCCCGGCAGCCTGATTCTGGAGAAGTACACTTATCTGACTTTGGCTGAGCCGGCTGGGCCATCAAGTGTGCCGCCGTCCCGTGAGAAGACCATTGTGACAGTCATGAAAACCCTTATCTGCTTCCACAGAAGCATGAACAATGTAAACTGGTCCTTGTGTCCGCACTGTTCCGGCTCACTCTTTGAAATGCACACAGAAGGCACTGACAAATCGATCATACTAAAGATAAACGGTTGCACATAATCCATCTTAAGAACATGAAGGCTTCCTCAGGATTTCTGTTTGTCTTAATGGACTGGCTTAATTTCTTCTGTTTTAGCTCATGGTTGCCAAGTATTTAATATGGAAGACAGATACTCAGAGTGCTTCAAGTGTCGTACTTTTATCCTTTTTCATGAACAGCTGAAGAGGAAAAGGAAGACATTTGTGCGTATTGAATAAGCTTAAGGTAGACAAAAATTATCTTCTTGGTAATTTTTCAAATTTGCTCAACCTGTGAATGGTCACTTCACAAGTCATGGAAACGCGAAAGCTGTGTTTTGTCTTCTTTATGATTATTATTCCTTGATTCAGAGTAAGTGAAAAGGTTTACTTGTATGCAAGCTCAGCTATGTGATGAACCTGAGGTCTGTACATAAAAACCTTAAAAACACAAAAAGGCAAGTTAAGAATGGCGAAAACTATTGCTTTTATTATTAGTGTTGTATGTATTGAAGTTACATGAAACCAGAATGTAACTTGGGGAAAAAGTTAAAGATAGGCATCCTCTCTATTTGGGGTGAATTCTAAAGAAAACCGGAAGAAAGAGAGGACTGCTCTGTGTCAGCCTGACATATTTGAGCCATGTTACAAATCCCCCCCAGTCAGAATGAAGGAAGCTTATTTGACAATTGAATGATATAAAGGAACACAACATTCTCTTCATTTCATGATGTCATGGGCATTGATATTATTGCATTGTTTTCATGTTTGGTCATTGTTAGTATCGCAGGCCAATGCAAACAAATCAAGATAAACATGTTGCTGTAGTTTAGATTGCGCTTTATGTTAATTTTATTAATATGCCATTATTGCAACTTAATTCTACTAAACTGTAATAAAGTAAAAACAGCAAAGTTATGCTTAAAAAATTACTTTCGAATACACCTGATCCAAAATACTTTATGAAACTCTGATGACAGTTATTCTAACCATATGATCAAATAACCATGTGATCAATGGACAAAGCCCCTCAGCAGATAGTCATAGACCAAGATTCCTGAGCAAGGCTTCTAGAATCAGGAAATACCCCATCTGTGCCAAACTGTCATGTCCCCTTATGTTGTTCTTGTTTTGCCACAAAAAAAGGACACATACAGTCTGTCAACCCACTTTCCCCTTGTAGAAATGCCAATTATGCATTTATATACCCCTAGCCCTTTGTGGTATCTTTGTTGGGGGTAGCACATGGTGAGACTCCAGCACCCAGTTACCAAGGGTGAGGGCAGTGGTTAGAACTACTGTACATGATCGACAGAGCAAGCCCCCTTAGCAACAATGCCAGGATTACTATATTGTACATGTTCTAGATTTACTCTGCACAATATGTTCTGATTTTGCATGGCATGAGACTAACTATGAAATACTTAAAAGATCACATAAATGATTTTGATATAAAGTAAATAATTATAGTTATAAACTCTTAAAAAGGAAATTAGCCTAAGTTTGAGTTAAGAAATTAGAACATGGGCATGAAAATTGATACATCCAACAAACAAGAGTTGATAGAAATTAACTATGCAATTTTGTTTAATTCAGGTCTATGGAATATATAATCTATGTTTATAGATTATAATGCAGATTTGAAACATATTTCAGACTTTCTGCATGCAATTCAATCTTCCATTGATAGTTACTCCTTTTAACTTTATTAAACTCAGTACCATGCAAGCCTGGCATATTTGCACCAAATTTTCCAAATATCCATGTGAGCACTTAACTGTAAATAATAATAAACAATGCCTACAAAACAAATCAGTCATGTCAGCTTTTATCATGTACCACTTCAAAATTAATGATGTTCCTGCAAAATCACAGACATAATTAATGGATTCAAAAATATATTCTTATCAGGAAACAAATGTTTCTTATGTTAGTAAAGTCGTGAAAATGAATGCTAAAGGCAAAGCATGAATTAAATTGCCTTGATCTTTTGATACCGTTTAGTTACTGTTTCTTTAGAACTTGACTTATTGAGCCATTTCTATACATCCCATAATGTTTTCAACAGGGCATTTGATCTTTTTTTCCTGTTTTAATAGTCCTATGTAATTTAATAGATAATTTCCTCTAAAACTCTATACTCTGTATTATGAAATACATTATTGCTATTATTATTTGTTTAGAAGATAAAAAACAAGGCCACTGAAAAACAATTCCAGGTTCTAGCTGTTGTACAAAGCGTGAGTTTGTGGAACACTTTACTGCAAATTTATAAATGTGAAGGCATGTTGTACATCATGTCGTGCGCGAAACCACTTCTGTCATATAAATATTAAATCTATTACTATTATTATTGTTGTTGTTGAGGTTGCTCTTATTGTTGTGTTGGCCAAACTAGTTTGTAGTGTGCGCTAGTATGTTTTTGTGATGTACTTCGTGCGGCCTTTGTGTCAGTGTACCAGTACTGCAGACAAAGGTTCAAATAAAGAACGGCGCAGAAAATAAGGAGTGGGTCCGATCAATCAATTTATGAACGGAAATTACCAACTACTATAGTTACTACGGGCAGGGGCGTCAGAAGCATTTTGAATGTGGGGTGGTGGGGGGGTGGGCGGACACACTGGCATATTTTATGCAGGGGTCCAAACGAATAATTATGAAATGTGAGGGGGACACCTCAAATTTAATGGCGGCGATGCCCATGACTACGGGTCTCAGAAAACCAGCTTATTAACGAAAGAACGAAGTACTGAACGTTACGTTTTCGGGAAACGCACCTCAGACTGTAAAAAAATTAAAACAGACAGAAGGTGTTTGTTTTAGACATGGAAACGTGATGTTAATTTTTAGTGCACAAAAGTTAGGTTTTAAGCGAAGATTTAATGTTAATTTATTTCATTATTTGTTGCCGTTTATCACCTACGTCCGCAGCATGATGTTTTGCTCATAGAGAAAAAAACGGCTCTGTAGCCTATTATTAACCAATCTATAATATCCAGACATGTAATGCAATGCAAAACAAATTACACAAACGTGATAATCTATATCTATCTATCTATCTATCTATCTATCTATCTATCTATCTGTCTGTCTGTCTGTCATTAATTCATTAACTTATTTATTTGGCAAGTGTCAGTAATTACATGCAGGGGCGAATCAACCTTGTTAAAGTGTGTGTGTGTGTGTGTGTGTGTGTGTGTGTGTGTGGTGGGGGGTCTAGAAGGAGGTGATTTATTTTCCCTTGAAAAAAATACCAAGTCATAATTAACTTCCTGCATTTCTTTATTTTCTTTACATCAATAGTATGCATTTTAATGCATAATGTGATGTTACACCATGTTATCCTTATCCTTTTTCTTGATATTAAAATATAATTGAGGCATACACAATTGTTAATGGAGTTTGGCTAGCATTTTATAACGTTACTGCATCCGAGCAGCGCATGAAGACCTGCACCTGCGCAATGAGCCTCGGTGTACACAGTACACAGTAGTATACTATTACTACTATTAGGTCTGTGTTATTATTATTATCATCATTATTATCCGGTGTTCGAAATTTAGCAATTTAGATAAACACTTAAAACATTGTTCACTGACATAACCAAAGGGTACTCACAGGATTCGACCTGCAACATCACAAGATCATATGCAAATAAACCTATTTTCTTGCCCCTTGTAATTTTTAGCCGTTGAATTGTTACACGAGCTCACGCACATTAGTCTTTTTTTTTTTCTTGGCATCTCTCCAGATCGTGTTCAGTGATACCATCTTCAGAGGCGCCGAATAGTGCACCGCGTCATTAACTCCAGAAAAGCGCGGTTAGCTCACATTAAGAGACAGAAACACAGATCGGCAGCTTCAACCAAACAGACCTATTATACACACAGCTATTTGAAAGGTTTGTTATTTAGTCGTTGATTACTTGCTTATCACAGAAATCCTCCAGTCATTGATATAATAATTAGGCTCGCGGTCACGGCAACAAAAATCCATAGGTTCGAGATTTATTCTAATTTAACAGAGAATAAATAAATAAATAGCCTAAATTTACCAAAGCATGTCTAGCCTATACTGAAGTTTTTACATAGCATTTGAGTTGAAGACTCGCCTGTGAAAGAGGTGGATGACGTTTTGAAAGGAAATCAGTTATGATAGTATCACTTTGACATTTTTATTTGTATTTGTAATTATATAAATTGACATATTTACAAACGAATGTATAAAAATATATATAATTAAACCTTTCAATAATAATTAACATTTGAAAAGTACAATACATACATTATGTTCACAAGTTTTTCTTGTACTGGCTTCCACATCAGAATGGAACGATGACAGCTATATTAGAATGACCTATTAAATGTAGGAGGTACACGTGCCATTATTAATCTCGTTGTGGTTAGCAGTCTGACGCAACTTCAGTACCATTTGTAGTTAATTTAATCAAGTGTCATTTTCATACTAGTTCCACATTTTAAGTACAGATAAACTCCCCAAAATCAATTGGGATCAACGCATTACACCATATTACAAAGGACATGGACAGATTGAATTGGGTTGCATGATAAAGCGATTATTAAATATTACTCTGATAAAATCTTTTCATTCACTTGTAGAAATAACTTTTAGAAAACTGAAAGTGTGATTAAGAAAGCAACAAGCACCGCCGTATAAGAGAATGTTAAAATGCAAATAAGCAATCATTTTCTCAAACATTTTTCTTAAGACAGCTTCATTTTTTGCACATGGTTTGGAAAGATAAACAGCTTCTGTTCGTCCATTTCTCTCCATTTTAGCTGGTTATTTATAAATATTGTGCTTTTACTTACTGGGTTCTTGAAATGAGTTAAACTAAATCGCAGTTCTGACCAGCTTGTTGTGTTTAAGGTTTTCTTGCTGTATTGAGTCCGTTATCTTGGTTATGAAGCCGAGGTAGGAAGGGTGATCCCATGAACGCTGTTCAGAGCCTCGTGGTGTTGCTTGCTCAACGGACTGGGTGGTTTTCTGTCTCCTGGAGATAAGCCAGAATTAATGTGCTTTATACGGCAAATAAATAGCAATTGCGCCCATTCAACCCAACCCTGGGCGCCCATAATCTAGTCACCCATTGAAAAGTTGCTGATAAGAAGACAACTGCATGCAAAACGAACTACAACAACCTGAGCCTTAGAAACATACTGTAATGACAGATCGGTGATCCAGGTAGGTTCAGGATAAACTGAACTGCGATAGGGATAACGCATCACGTGATACGACATTTTAAAGCTCCTGCTTTTATAATAGTATAATTTTTATGTTTATGTATCCACATTGCCTGCTAGCAGCGACTTCCGTTGTGTTAATGTTTTTAATTTAACGCTACAGTTCGTAGTTTTTAGTTTTCTTTTCCCTTTCACTATTTAGTCTGAAGCATGAAATTAAAATATCGATTTTTTTTCTTATTATCTATTTAAACTAGATGCATTACAAAGCATGGGTGTGGGGGACCGTCATTCTATAACAGATTATGCAATTAATCACGTTTATTATTTATTTGATAAATAAACCAAAATGTCTGATGTTATTAAATGAAGTTTTTCATCAGTCTTTATCGGGTTTCTTCCCTCTGTGTTCCTGAGTTTAATAACTGAAAATTCAACACGTAGTGGAAAGTGCATAAGTAGGCCTATTATGTTTAATAGAACTGTAGTTCATTCGTGTGCAAAGTAGGCCTACTATAATTTAATTGTAATGAGTCCCTATATTAACATCGTGAAATATCACTAATTTGCACACTTTTAAACTAATGGGTCAAAGGTGGTCTCCAGTTTTAAAACACACGTATTAAACACGATTATGCAGATTATGAGAAGGAAAAACGCTACGAGAAAGAAAAACGTAGGCCTAATTCTACAAAAACATGTTATTTCTAGCCATAATTCGTTTCGAGCCATTAACTACAGTGCTATTCATAGATCCATTATAAAATAAAAGGGAATTATAGAAAAATAAATTGTGAACAAAACATTCCGTTAGAATATGCAATAATATGATTGTTTTATTTGTTTACCATTTTATTATATTTGTATTTAAATACGTATAAAGGCTCAAACAATTTTATAAAAGTACAGTTTGACAGAAGATCAAACGTACGTAGGATTTGTCCTGTGATATCTCATCATTTTTATCTTGATAAAACATGGCACTATATAAGCTTCCATCTTTTGTCTGAGTACACAAATTTCAAGATATTAAAGGTATCAAAGGCAGAAATACTTTTGCAAGGAATATTGCGAAAATTTCCGTAATACGGCGTCAACTGTCTATGGTTTTCTAATTATGGTTTTCGATATTGTTATAATTAAAATACCGTTTAGTCTTCTGAACAATTTCAACTTTGTGAAATAGTATCGAACCTACCATCGCGTGACGGATGCTTGAAAGTCATGGCACAGTGAAGATCTCCTCCGTGTACCGTCATTTCACTGCCCGCGTGGGACAGACTCGTGCTCTGAGGCTGCCAGTGCCCTGGAGCCACGTAGCTACCTGTTGGTCCACCATAAACTCCGTATTGGTTTGAAGCAGAGTAAGCACAAGCTGGAACATAACTGGAAAGATTTGCCGAAGCCTGGAAGTATAAATTTCACAAGAAATTAATACACAGGAAATTATTTTCGAATAAAATAACTATTCAAAAAGATATGTTCCAAATAAATAGTTTTAGGTATTACGTAAATTTAATACTATGTAAAATGCGTGTATATCGTGGTTTTCATTAAATAGATCCAATAGGGTAATTACCTTTATAATGGATTTTAACATATAGAGGGAAAAAAAACCACTCTACAAAATACTATATGTTGAATTTTTAAATAAGTGCTTAAATGGTAGAAATTGAAGCCAATGGTAAACAATCTTTGAACGGTATTATTTAAAACGTTTTACTCTTGTTTCTGTTTTTACTATATGCCAAAATACTTTACTCCACATGTACCTGAGGGTATTTTATGTCTGTATCAATAGCTGATTTGTCAAGGCCGTTGACACAGTGAGCAGAAGGAAACGGCGTTCTGTTTACACTAGCCCAGTCTTCCATTTTGGGTGGATATCCATCTGTTCCGGCAATGGCTGCAGAGAGAAAGCGTTCAAATAGAAATTATATGGAAAAGGGGTCTGCATCCTTTTTACTGCTCTAATGACCGAGAAGAAATCTATACTTAAGTATAAATTGGTTTTGAGTTTTAATTGAGAATGATTTTCTAATAATTGTAGAAACTGTGAAGAGATCTCTGTTGTCCATATAGGCTTATCTAACATTTTACCATATTAGATTCGATATTAAACTACTTTCTGTTAAATATGGGCCTAGCCTAATGTCGCCGGTCTATTCGTGATAATTATCAGAATTAAAACCTTTTGCATTCACAGGTTGTGTTTATGCATTTTTGCTTGAATTTGAACCAACCAAAGATACACGTCGATTACTTATATGGGCATTGCATTTCGATAATAAACACAGTAAATTATTTATTTATACGTTTTTAATTCAGGTAATCTGAACAGTTTCAATTCTTCAAATGTTACATATGACAGTAGCTCAAAAATTACAAATTGAAATAACTAAGAACACGTTAATTTGACTTCATTTAAATATTACCGGGGGAAAAAACTCAAAAAACTTAACCGCAAGTTCAATAGGAGTTGTAAGGAGACACTACTTTGAAAATTTAACGAATGCAATACAAACCTGCTGGATCCATGAAGGCCCGAATCCCTAAGATGTTACTGACAGTGTGTACCGAAGGCCAGGCTCTCGAGATACCCACGTGGCCCGGCGTGACAGGTAGTCCTGGAGTACTGCTCATTTTTGTCCCAGTGGGTGACAAAGGACTGGGATACGAGTAGGAGTACATGTGATTATAAGAAAGCGCATGCTGTGTAGGAGAGTGCTTGCTGCTTTCGTGCTGGGTCGGCTGGGAGAGATTTCCAATCTTGTTCCTTAAAATGCGGCTTATTGAGCTTACTGAGGGCACATTGTATTTGTCGCAAACTCCGTCTGCGAGGAGCCTGTCCCTGATCTCCCAAGCGAAGATTCCTGGATCATTTTGTTTGTAATCCCGTATGTTTTTAACCACATTCGGAGTTGTAACCCGGGGTTTGCTCCCTCCAATTGCACCGGGTAAAATAGACCCAGTTTCGTTGTACCTAGCCAGAATCTTGCTCACGCAGCCGTGAGAGACTCGGAGCTGCCTGCTGATGTCGCAAGGCCGGATTCCGAGCTGAGCCAGTTCCACGATCCGGATTCGTATGGCGTTTGGTAGGGGTCGTCCGTTCACAAATACGCCACCAAGCTGATTCACTTCTCCGTACGTTTGCTCTGCGAAAAAGCACACATATTATAAAATGCCAACATGAACGTGGCAGTAAATGCTATAGACGTACGTAGGCAATACAAATCACACACAAAAACTGTAACTGGAATGGCGAAAAAACCCAACACCAATAATCTATAGTGCTCAGCAATAATAATAATGAAAAAACCGAATGTATAACTTTGTTTTGAGTTCTAAGCTACCCCTGAACTCAAATAACTGTGCCATGCACAAACATTTGTGCATCATAGTTTTTTTTTTTACATGTGCTAGTAATAAAAGTTCAAAAGCTGTAGCATTATCAACGGAAAACAAAAATAAAATCACTACAGCGCACAGCTGTCAGTTAGATAAGAACTTCTAACATTTTTTCTCAGGCGAAAACTATGTGAAATGGAATGAACGGGCCAAGCCACCTTAAACGGGCTAATTACAAACGGTTGTTTCTTATGTTATGTCGGCTTGTTAAACACGTTCTGCTTCTAACATCTTTTTTGCCAGTGGACCATGCAGAAGTGAGCTCATGCTTACCCATTTGTCCTCTGTCGGAGATGCTTTCTTTCAAACCAATGCCCTTCAATAGCAAAAAGTAGCTGCGCCGCCGGTGCGCAAAAAGCAAAATGAAAACCTGGACGTCAAGACTGCCTTTGTGCACCTCGCCCACACTTCTAAAGTGCCTTGAAATCAACAGTCGTGGACAAAGAGAGTGAGGTGATCTTTATCCGAAAAACTCAAATTTGTCTATTCCAGCGGCAGCTTTTTAGTGGGATTAATTTGACTCGCCTCCACGTCAGTCTGGTTGGTTACGCGGAAACCTCCTGTTTGATTTCATTGGTCCCCTGCACCAAGGATAGGCTGTTCCCCACAAACGCAATTCATTCCGGTATGTGCAGTTCAACCTCTTTAAACTGTTGTTCTCACAGAGTAAGTTAAATAATCACACCGCTTGGTCTGAATGTGAAACTAATGCTTTAAAAATAGCATCTTAGTCAAAAATTTGGCTCAGTGAACGAAAGTTTTATTGAGGTCATATAAAGGCCTCCAGTTAACATATTAACATATTATACGTCATAAATCATAATTTTTGCTTGAATTCACGTGTTTATATATTTCTATATTGTATATTTGTATGTTTGATAATATATACTAAATTCTTTACCAAAATAAAATGACACGAATAATATAAAACACTTCCATAAACTCAACAGTATGCCATTAATAATTTAAGCTTCAGCAGTGTCAAATTTTAAATTTTTCGAAAACCCTATACATGATGAAGTCATCGAATTTTGAAAGAAAAATAGGAGCCTATGAAAATTTCTTTCGGTCATCATCTGCTCTCTTACAAAATATAGAACTATTTTAATGAAAGCTTTAATTATCTCAGCCGATATAATCTGAATTTAACGCGAATTTACGGACGCTGAAGTAACGGAACTATCGAATTTTATGTCTGTGATTCGACAAACAGCTCCGCTTCTTCAATATTAGAAAAAAATAAATAATAAAAGGTAAAGCTTATTAATACTTTCTAGTGCACTATGCACTTTTTGTGTTTTTATTAATATTTAGGCAAATTTGCCTACTATAGAATATAGTTTAAAGGTCAAACAATTTTAATTAAGCTCCATTAAACGCGTCGGTTCACTAAAGATAATGAAAACTTATTTGTTTTATTTTATTAATTTCTTAAAATGCAACCAACGTTAGTTTAACATTGAACCTTTGTTAATCCAGAAGAAGAAAGTTGAAAAGAGAAAAAAGAGTTCTTTGGCGGATTTAGATATATATTCATCGATTTTTAATTTCAGTGGGGCACCTGCGGTGTACACGGTCAGTGCTGTGTATTTAGAAAAAATATTGATATCTGTCACGTAAAAACCTTATTGGCTGAACCAACAGTAAAAGTTGCACCATTGTGCCGTTTCTAGCTGGCTCATTGCGTATGTCAGAAAAACACCTTCTGGAAGCATAGGGATACATCAACCAGCCATAATGTTGTATTATTGTATCTAGACGCCATCAATAACGTACATTGGTATTTAAACAGGAAGATGGGGTGATCATTGCCATTTATTTCGTAGGAAACCTAGCGGCATACATCCATAAACCTATTAATCAACCTCGACTAATTATGTCGATAAAGCATCGCACTCATCGGCTGCAAGCATACCAAGTTAAAAAGACTCGCAGTTATTTAAAGCCAAGGTTTCCTGTTCACACGTAAACTTGGTAAACATGTGAGTCGCCCCCCTCTGGCATACATGTAAACTGCACAAAATATGTGCGTCAAGCTCATTTTGGAGATCGGAGGTCTTCTGGCAAGTAAGAAAAACTTTGGTAGAAGACTTTATAAGTTCAGGCACATATGCATTATATTGTGCAATTTCAATGGGGCGTAACTATGCACAGAAGTATGAGGTATGGGCATATTTTTTTAATTGTAATGTTTAAGCGCTTGACTGGATTAACCAAAATAGGACTCAACTGGTTGTCTTATTTGCGAGGTAATTTGTTACTGTTTAACATAACTTGCTACAAGATTGCTATTGAGTAGAAAATATGTAGGATGATGCATAGTTTCTTATCCTTTTATTTTAAACGTATACTATATTCTACAGACATTCTTTTCACTGGGGTGACAATGAGGTAATATTTTGCAGTCGGGGAGTGGGGGGGGGGGGCATTATCCGTGCATTATCCGTTCGCGAGCATTATCTGTCAAACATCTCGCAATTGAGTTGGAGATACGCTAGAATTAAATGCTCTGTATTTCGTTTTTATGTTTTGATGAGGGGTGGCAACTGGGCTGCACACGTATTTAAAACCACAGGCCACTTCTTAGATCCGGCCTGATCCCTTGATTCTATCGAATAAATGGTTGGGCAATGCGTCTATAGCTAATCTTTGGCCAAGTGACAAAAGCTGTTTTTTAAAAAGCTGTATTTTAAAATATAATATAGGCGTTTATTTAACATTTTAGTTAAACCCTCGTTGTTTGTTCTTGTCTTTATTGTTTTAATACACAAAGATTCTTATATGTTTTCATGTCTAGAACAGGGTTATGGTATAATTACATGAAAACCTAATACGCAACTGCATTTTAATGATATTCTATTAATATTTCATATCTTTTTAGACAATATTTGCACAAGTCTCTGCTTGTTTTAATAAACGACAAATTAAAACATTATCATATTGTGTAATTACAGTGATCTGGTTTGCCGAATGAGTGTTGTTTCGTTTCCGTATTTGAAGTTACTCTAACATATCATTTAAGGAGCCGTGAGTATAGATCATAACATTTTTTTTGTGTTAATGTACCAGGTGAATTACAAAGATATCACATAATTCATTTAATATTAAACTCTGAAAACAATACTACGACGTCAAATCACTATCCAGACAATACACTCTAATACACCCATACATCTATACCCCTCACCCTCAAGGTAAAACATGATTTCAGTAAAGTCTAAGATTATATATATATATATATATATGTGTGTGTGTGTGTGTGTGTGTGTGTGTGTGTTATAACCTATAGACAAAAGAGAGCATAAGCATCGCCAGTGAAAAAAAAACTGCATTATGTGTAATTGTGTGCACCTGCCCGAAGAAAAGGCAACGGAGCCCTAATGTATGTCACGCTTGTTTTACGAGGCGACCGATTTATCTTGTTAGGTATCACTGATGCTTGGTCTTTCATACTAAAACTAAGCCAATCAATTGCAATAAGAAATCACGCACGTATCTTGAAATCTAACAGTTTCAGGCGATATTTTCACACGGAAATGAAGGACTCCAATTTATTGTGTAATTATCGATAACATAACACGAAGCTTCAGGTTGCGTGACATATACGTTGTATTAATAATAGTACGTTTTTGAAATATGAATCATTCTCCGGCAAAATCAAAGTATCCTCAGCGACAATTAATATACCATTATAAATATAAATTGATGCGACATAGGCCTATTTAGTATTAATTTAATCTTCTGCATTATAAAAAAACGTTGAATCGATAAAGATAATTGCGTTCTAAACTTTTTCATCTTCTAAAAATATTAAACTAAATAAACAGTTAAGAGCCAAACCACTGACCTTATTTTGTACATGTGATTTAATGTAATGTATTTTAATTGAAGTTGTAATAGTATTCACAGTTCTTTTGCCTTCTTTTCATGGGGCAGGTGTGGCCTTACTTTAGAACACGAAATTTCTGAATGTACCTTCTCTATATGAAACGGCCTGTTTCATTTGTATTACTTCATAAAGGACGCGGATAACAAGGTTATCACAGTGGGAAACTCTAAGGTGGATTGTTATATATGTATGTATGTATGTATGTAGGCCTAAGTAGGCCTATGTTATTTATATCGTTACGGAAGCTTCTGGTGGCCCACTTGTGTAAACTACTTGCACAATAACAAAAATCATTTATGTGACCTTTTCTGCTAGGATATGTATAAAGCGAAAGTGCTATATTTTGCTTTAGTAATCCAATCCAATTATAAGGCATCACTTAGGCCCTACCAGAAATAAAGCGCGTGCATTAAGTGTAAGTTAAAAGGTGAATCTTAGGAACTGCATCTGTCTAGATCTACAGCAACCCTTTTCACCATCATTCTAGTTACATTTTTATCGGATTGTTTGAAAGCTTAGATAAATACGTTTTATTTCCACATTATTCTCTCCCAGTCGGGTAATCACTATAAAGTATAATAGTCGTTTACCGATTACATGACATAAGATAGCCTTCGAACTGATAAATAACAGGAAAGAGAAAAGAAAAATGAATAATGAAATGAAAGGTTTTTTTTCATTGAATTTTGTAGCAGAAAATCCTATACGAATTATCACTGACACATATACGCGTTGAGAATAATTACAAGTCTTACTGATAGCCATTTAAAACGATTCAGAGAAATGTACATATTTGCATGGCTGGAATTATTATTATTAGTAGCATTATTATACGTTCAAAAATAAAGCGAACTCTACAAATTTATGTGCAGCTTTTCTTTTCTGTATATAATATCACTCAGTCACTGATTATTAAATCTGACATAAAAATATTGCCCTTTTAACGACTTAGTTTAATAGCAATACTTGCACCATGCAAGTATTTTCTACATTTCTCCAAAAAGCTTTATATATTATTTCTCTAAATCCTAATAATGTACAATAAAAACGCATTATGTATTTGTGTATGTGTGTTTCATATATAGTTATTTGTGCAGTCGTTTTTAATTTCGTACTGATGAATGTAAAGGCAACGAGTACATTTGGTAGAAATTTTTAACATTTTATATAGTGAGTCTCTTTTCGAGGTCACTCTTTAAAACTTCGATTTGAAGTGTGCGTAAAATATAAAAATTAAAAGAATTAACAAAAGACAAAAATTTTAAAAGAAATACTAAGCGTAATAAGCGTAAAACAGGTGCATTTCTAGGTTTTAAGTTGCCGAATTATAGCATTCAATCTTGAGTAATTTTGAGTGCAGTTGCCTTATACGGGATTTGGTGTTAGAGTACTGTTTAATACAACATGGTCGCAGAATTTTCGTATAAACGGTGTATACTCCAGGACAATCGTAAACGAAGTCGGGATTAAGGCTCGTGCCATCCTTTTCCCCTCAGCTTCACCCCTACCACATACATATTTTTGTGATCGGAATTCAAAACTGTGGTTCCAGTATATGTGTTAATTCCTAATATTGAAATAGTTTCTACGCCCACTATATTCCTGCATGGTTGAAACAGTTTTGGTAAGTGCTACTTTGAAGACGTTTTTGTGCAATAGCGAAAATATTTAACGTGCTGATTTTAGATATATAAGCTAA